CAAGCAAAGCAATTTTCTTTGCTCTTTAATGCTTAAAAGGTATCTACCATAAGAGAAGTAATATGATTTAGTAGATGTTGAAGCAACTCCAATCATCTCTATATCTTCACTTCTTATTAAAATTATTATTCTTTGTAGTAGTAAATTGAATTAATGCATTATAAACATTAATTTCTTGATTTATTCTTATATTTATATCATTGCAATCTTTATTTCAATTTGCTATAATAATATAATAGATAAAAAGATGTTCAATATTAGTCAAGACAAGTGGACAAGAACTCAAAGAATATAAATAAATAAGTGAGATGTATATCAAATAGAAATGATAAAAAAAAATTAAAAATATATATATATATTCAAGAAGAAGCTAGAATAGCTACTATCAAATATTAAAAAATTAAAGACTCTTGAAACTAAGAAAGAAAAGAATTGATAAGAGTGAAAAAAGTCTCACTCTTGTATCTTTATATACTATCTAATTAAGAGCTACATGGCATCAATCTATAAAACTTCGAACACATGTTCATTTTATGAGACATTTGTCTAACTTATAAGGCAAGTTTCTTATATGTATACCACATAGCCAACTTATATCACAAGTAATCAATATATACAATAAACTATCAATTTATTGAATAATTTTTTAAATTATAAATTATATATATACATAAATTATATATATATATATATATATATATATATATATATATATATATATATAAAATCAAACCCACATCTATAAAACTTCTAAGAAGCTAATTTACAAGATATTATCTAATTTATCTACTTTTATTTATATCTACTTGATTCTTCTTAACTATGCCAATTATGTTTGTGACATTATTTGAAATTTTATCCTCTATACTTGCATAAACAATTTAATTTATCAATTTTCAAACCATTTTTTTATCTTTATAACACCAACGAAAATATAATAGATAAATTTGCTATAAAATATTTAAATCCTATTGTAATTTTGATATGTTTGTTTTAGTCTTATAATCTTTAATTCTAAATTTTAAATCCTAAAAATTAAAATCTCAAATCTTAAATTTTAATAAAAAATTCAAATATATAATATAAAAAAATATAAAATTAAAATATGAAATATAAAGCAATATAATCTCTAGAAGTCTCTTTTTAGGATGCAAAAGCTAGCCTAATTGTAATAAGAATTAAGGTAATAGATTTTATTATATAATTATTCTTTTGCTATTAGATATTACTTATTTATTAATAAATATTATTATTAGTAGTAGTTAAAATTTTAGTTGGAAGCTTATAAATTATAGCTGCATAGTATTAGAGGTAGAATCCTTGCATATTATACCAACAACCAACATGTGAGATTGCAACACAATATTGGCAATGTTTTAAGTTTGCATCAAACTTGGCATTATTAGAAGCAATGTTGTAAAGGAGCATAGCATGAACTAGCTTGCATTGGAATGTTTGAACTACTAGCAACAATAGTAAGTCACATATTGTAAAAATCCGAATATTACAAAAAAAAAATTTTTTTTTTTTTGTATTACATCTTTTCAATCATCTTTAATATTTATTTTTTTTACATTATTTGCTATTCCGCATTAAAAACCCTTGTTTTAAAAAATTATTAATAAAGTCTAAAATTATAAACCTTTAATACATACTAATCAAAGTTTGTTTTATAATCAATCAAAAAAATTACAATAATTTATTAACTAGTAATTGCTATAGCTGTTATTTTATCTATTTAATTATAGTAAATAGTTTTTTATTTATTTAACTTCTTTTCTTAGATTTATTTTTTTTATGTTTATGTCTTGAAATTATTATAAATCATTGCAAATTTGTTTCAATGACTTTTTTTTATTTCTACTTTAATTTTTTTAAAATATCTCATTTTTTAAATTGGTTGTTTGATTCCTAAATTTGTCTCTTTCTACATTCTTTTATCTTCTTTCTTTTGGAATATTACTGTTGTAGTGGTTATAATAGATCTTACAAAAAAAATAGGCATCTATGCTTTAGGATTAAAATTTTTATTTTTTCTAGTATTATTTTTCTACCACTTAATTTATATTATTTATTTTTATATTTTTAATATATTTTAATTTTTGAAATCCTAAAACAACCAAATTTTATTAAAATTAAGTCTTTTCTTAACTTATAAATTTTTATACATAAGAATAACACTTAGTACATACAATATGTATGCACATTTTTACAAGCTCTTACTTTTTCACTTTTTATATTAATGTTGTTGAATCATGGCTAGCTTTTGTAATGTTGTATTTTTATTATCTCAAAACTTTTATCCTATAAGTTACATTAAAAATAACTCTATTGATTTATTATTTGATTTATATTTTTAAATCTTTTTTTTGTAATAAAACTTACTTAGATTGCTAATGGTCAACTGACTTATTATACATATTCTTTTTTTTTTTTATTTAAATTCCCATCACTTTGTTATTAATAATTTTCTCCTCACTTATTTTCATATGCACATTGGTCTAAATCACATATAATCTTTACATTTTAATTTCTAGTTTCTTCTCTTTTCTTTCTTTTAAAAAAAACAAAACAAAAATAAAAACTAAAAAGATCATACTATACAAACACATATGATATTTTCTCCTTTAAATTCTTTATGTTATTAGTTCAAGTCAAAGTCACCATGTTTTTTATTTTCAAATATACAAATCGAAATCCAAATTGATATTCAATAGTACATTGTTTTGATGGAAATACCTTAGATTCTCCATAATTTTTGATTTTCTATTGATATCATAGTCTAGGTCTTCAAGAATATGTTTTTATATTTTTATTATTATTTCCTATTAACATCTTTTTGATATCTTGTAAAGAATTCTTTTCATATGGTTTGTTTCCAAATTAGTTTTGTATACCTTTTATATTATTATTCTATAAACTAGTTTACTTAAACACCTTTTTACATGGCTATGGTAACAAGTACTCTTTCTACAATCAAATCACAATATATTTAATATTCTAAACAATATATATATATATATATATATATATACTTTAAATAAATAACATCAGCTTCGACTTTAATATAGACATCTTTTTTTCAACATTTAATATAATTAAACAAAGTATAGTGTGGTTTTTAAAAGTCAAAAAAATTGTTGGTTTGAAAAGCAACACACCTCATTTATTTGAACGCAAGACAAGTTGAAGACAAGCATCGGCCAACGTCATCTAACTCCACAATGCACACACTAATCCTGCACTAATCTCAAGCACCCTAAAGAATTCATCATCTGATCTCCGCAACAGCAAACTGAACCGATCATGGACCACGATCTTTGCGATTTCTTATGAAAAGCTCATTCTGGATAGCTTAAATGAGGGACATGTAACAGAGCTGCGTCTCATTACTTGTCGTAGTTGTGGTTCTGAGTTTTGCTCGCAGTGCATCCTCTAATGAGCATTGCATCCTTTGAGAAACACCGACAGAGCGGGACTAATTGTGCAGCAGAGGTCTCGCTCAAGCAGGAAGCTCACGACGACAGGTTTGGGGTTAAGGAATTATCGAATCCCCCGTTTAGATCTTGCACCTCTGACTCCTTCTAGCCGAAAGATGGAATTCGCTGTGATCCCTTGACAATACAACACAACTTGCTGGCACTGTTCAAGGATTGCATGGACTGTGATGCAAGTGCGGTAAGGTCCTGGCATTGGAGCACCGATGAGGCCCGCTTGAATGCATCGGGATAGAACCCGATAAAACCAATGGGATCTGTCCATGGTATTTCAGATATGGCTTTCATGCATGTGTAAGTGAATGAATCTTCTGCGGCAAGAAACATCGTTTCTGTGCATGTGGCGTAAAGTTCTTAACGCTCCATTGGGAGATTCTTCCACTTATGTGACTAAATGTGGATGTTTAAAGCGACCATTCTCATTTCGTGGAAAGGGACTTGGCTAGAATCGAATACGCGTAAGAATTCAGGTAAAATTCATGTCACGCCAAAACTGATGCATTGACCGCTGCATTCCGGAAAAAGTATAATCCCCTGGCGTTGGGAGCACACAACATGTCAGCCTCCAAGGGGTTTACCGTGGATTAATTGAAAATGACGCTATGAAAAAGGTAATCCGTCCGAGAAACCAGCTGCAACAAAGGTTTAGTGCGTTGAGAATATCTGAAACTAGGAGGATTGCCTCCAGATAGGTTCACGCGTCGAGAAATGCTTGTAGCAAAGACGAGAATGACATAGAGCCTGTTGTAGGATTGCATATGAGCCAGAAGGGTAACAGTCGATGCTCAGGAAGCTATTCTACTTCCACGATGTCTGCACAGAGTTTACGTCCTGACATGCCAGAAACTTCTCTGATGCTGCGAGTCCGCAAAAGATAGCAGGAACAAGCTCGAGTTTAGAATCTCGAGATGAATCTACCGTTGTGAATTCAAAGGAGAATCGCCTCCTTTGCTAAAGACCCAGTTGCTCGAAGTCCACTGAATCGCAATGCTGCAGTATGCGACGATCGATTTAAAGGCCACCATCCCTTCCACATCAGACGCCGACCTCCACAAATAGGTATACAGTTCGCTTCTCCATGGAACTGAAAATTCCTAGCAATAGCTAAGGAAATGGGCAGGTAAGAAGAAGACGTGTCGCGATCTCAGGATTGTTACGAAGAATTCGTTCTTCAGCTTGAAGACATGCTAAGGTCTTGGTTAGAATTTTTACGTGGCTGGATACTGTGGGTCCACCCGTTACTCAGCTGGTGTCAACACAACCTGCAGCCAAGTAAGCGTGAGTGAAACTGGGTGTTGCTGGTCGAAGTCGAACTCATTGAGGCTGAGCCTTCCACGTGTGCTGCACTGTGTAATGGAGACAAGGAGAGATGTATCCAGTTTAATGCAATAACTCAGAAACTTGATGTGGGTAGTTCATGTCGTCATGAATGTTGACATGCGTATGGATGGTGTGGGGCCCTACCGTCTCTCGCTCAGGAATGGAAAGACAATGCTGGAGGTATTGAGCTTCATTCAGTAGGCAGTATGTCGCAAGCCAACAAACGAGAAAAGTCACTCACTTTCTGTCCGCGCTGCAAACCCGGCTCGCCCGGATTACGTTCTTCCTTCGTGTCTACTCTGGACGCGCGATGATCAAAACACAGTCTAATCGCAGCTCTCCATCATCGCTATTTGTGTGTTTGACCTTCTCAACGCGACTCACTCTTCGCAAGTGCTACTCTAAGTAGCGTGTCTGGGACTTAGAAGAAGTAGTTCTTGACTGTTTCTCAACCCTCATGCGCTCTGACCCAGCTGCTAAATCGTCATATTTGTGTGGGAGACGCATAGATTACGGACACTGTTTCTTGTTGCCATTCTTGAGCTGTTGCGGCAATTTTAGAGCACTCTGAGGTTTAGTCCAGACTGAGGTTTCGGGACTGGGTGGTTGTTTGGTTCTAGACGGACCAACCTTGAGGAGCCTTTGAGTAGCCCTTGCGACGTAAATTTGTCAAGAGCCATTTAGAATGGTGAGGAATATGCCTTCCAGTGACATTTTTGGCAGCAAGCAGCGTTCCCCCGTGCCGATGAGGCGTCGAGATGAAATCAATGCCACAGAGGATGCCGCAACCACTGAGCTTGTGAAGGCCGATGGCGCTGAGGTTCGGGATACTCTTACCGTGAGAACGGGCAGCTCTTCTCCACGCAGCGAAAGCACCTCTCCCAGGTAAACAGCCTCCCTGGCGCTCCTTCTCCAACCCTTCCTAATAAAGCCATAAAACCTGCGTAGGCGGGAGTATCTAGGAGCGTGATGATAAACCTCATAAAATTATAATCCTTGAACTTGCACCGGCCGTTTAGAGTCACACAGATTGCAAACCATGATTGCATTACCGAAGGCTTGCGAATTGTTACTTGATTTATGTCTAGAAATGGTCCAGCAGGAGCATTTTCGATAAGCCGGATTGTAGGAGCTGTCCTTATGTTTATTCTGTGCGTTGGGTGCTAAACGCTTGTTTCTATGAAATTGAGGAAATGAAAAGATTAAGTTTGATAACTCAGCTATCCTCATGGGCCTTACTTATCTACGCAGATTCCGCGATCAGGGAACCACAGGGCCTGCTGAAGTCTCGGTTGAGAAGAAGGTATTGAAATTTTGTAGCATCAAACGATGAGCTCTATAAACGTCACTCTTGTCTGCGCATTTTTTATTCACGTGATAGCTTATTTTCCAGCCTTGATCTATTGAGTGATCTTCTAGTTGCCTTATTTTGCGCTTTCCGCAGTACGATTATCCTTGATTCTGCTGAGCGTAACGCTTCTTCTTCTGTTTTTTTTTTCCTATTAAGCGGTTTACCTGACCCTGCCATGGGATTTCATTGACAGAATGAATTTTTCGAGATTAAGGGCAATATGAGCATGGGTGTAGATCCCGACATTGCGTATGAAATCCTCACGGATTATGAGAATAATCCTGATATCTTTAAAACCGTATCAAAGGTTGAAGTGGAGCACAGAGATAATTCAAAATTCGTCACACAGCACGCACATTGGCATCTGATGTTTTGGTCAGGAACCTTCGAGATGAGAATGAAAGTAGAAGAAGACCCCAGCGAGAGAGCAGTCTCCATGAAACTGTGAGTTACAACTATCGACGCCTACCGTTAGAATCTTCACTGTCATATCGTTAGCTAAACAGTCTCAGATTTCTAATGAGTCGATCTGACGTGTAGCTCACCTGGCCTTCTTTAATTGGATCTGTAGAACCGACCCTGGATTTTTGAAAATATTCAACGGGTATTGGAGCATAGAACCACGGGTGGTGGATGGCAAATCCATGGGTTGCAACGTGGTGGTCACGCAGGAAGTTTTGCCGTCGATGACTCCTCCCGGCCCGTTGGGTAATGTTCCAACATCTAATGTGTTCTCAACTTGATGTAGAACAACTTAATGTAGAACAACATCACGTCAGAAATCTCTTCGCTTTTCAAGTAATTGTGACAATATTCTCCTTATTTCACAAGATAATGCCGCTGCTGTGACAGACATAACTCGTAGCTAAAACTCATGAACCTCTTCTCTACTACTCGTCCTCATTGTGGGTGAACCTGTGCAGCTTCTGTTGTATCACGTATATTAGGCAACCAAGTGAAAGCAGTTTTGCAAGATCTGTGCGCGGAAGCTGAGAGAGGGCAGCAAATGAGACGAGTCTCAGCAGAATGAGGGAGCTGTGCAATGCAGCCGACGGAGAAGTTGCTGAACAGAATTTAGTATTACACTTATGTGCTGAGCCTTCAGTACCAACGAGAGATTGGTGATGCCAAATTCGTCGAGCAAAATTCAATTTTGATTCCTTGGAACTGATAGCACACTTTCAATGCGATCGACAATGTAAGATCGGAAACTTCGTCATGCAGCTGTGTGATAAATCGATTTGTAAATTCATTTATTATGTACAGTATTCTGTTCTTCTTTTGTTCGTGGTAACTCATTTGTCTGTACTCGGTTTTTTGTGTCTGTTTACCCTTTTTTGGAATAATGGAGTGTGTTGATATTGCTGTTGCAAGCTGATATGTTTTTTGTGAAGTAGTGTATTGATAAATATGCTAGGTTCATCATAACAGCTTTAAGCTGGGAGCTTGGTATTGCACGATTGTTTCTACTCTGGTAAAATGAATGAGCGATATTGTTTTATCATGTGAAGTGTTCGTTGTTGAAAAAAGAACCCTTACGCACCTCTGACAGGCTTTAGAACGATAATTTTGTGGATTGTTCTTGTGAAAATATCTTTTATTTCTTCCATTGGTTTGCAGATTGAATGTGTGAATTTTTACCTACCTGATCGTTATAAAATCATTTAAAACTTTTATGATAATCACTGTACATAGAAGATGTATGCAGTTATAATCAACATTAGTTTTATATCCATGTAAAGAAAGTTAACAAATACACAATCTGTATACTGAAAATTTAACGAATCTCAATATTGATGTTGTGAAAACAAGTACAATGAACATGACAAGGGCTGGGTTTCCATGGTCAACTCATGATGAACATATCTATTTGTCCAACAATGAATCAAATTATGATCTTTTCTCTCTAACCATTAAAAATGGATTAAACACAAAATTACTTATTTGAATGCAAAAGCGAATACAATTCAACGGAAAACAGAACTTAACTTTCAAACCTGTGCCAGAATAATATAGCGCATCGTGAAAAAGCTGCACAAACATGTGCATGTTGAAAATCATTATGAAGAGTAACTCCACATGAAATCCCTTCATCTCAGGTGGGTAAATTCATGTCCATTAGGACATGTATTTCAAATATTGTTGAAACGGTCCCCACTAATTCTCAGCACTCTATGAACGGATCACACAACAAATTCCGCGCAGTGACACTGTGCAAAGTAAATCCAAGTGTATTTTGGAAATGATATCCCGCATTATCACTTCACGGATCTACAATTTAAAGCGGTAAATCGCAGCGAATTGCGACCCAGCTGGCTGCAACACGCACACAATACTTTACATTACGACAGCACCAGCACTACACTGAAGAATCTAGGACGTTGTTTCTTGAAACTTGGGGGAAATGATTTAAAAGGTAACTTTAGGCAAAGCAATTCGAACAATTAGGCATCAAAAGATACGAACAGAGAAGCAAGGTATTTGTCTCATTGTTACAAAAGTAAGTAAATAAACCCCATTGAGAAGAGCAAAATTGGAACCCTGGCAGGCTTGCAGTGCAGGAAAAACTAAACCTGAAGTATCAGCTTTCTTTGGAGACCTTCACTTTCTTAGAACTAGGACTCTTACTTTTCTTCTTGGAAGGAGTCTCCTCTACCTGAACTTCCATTTGTACTTGGCTGTCCCTAGCGTTCTTCCTCTTGGAAGGCATCCTATCTTCCTTCAAATTCTTACCCTTGTTCTTCGAAGGAGTCACTACATTCTCAACCTCCATAGGCACCTCTACTGCCTTCAATTTCTTTTTCGAAGAAGTCTTGTTTCCGTCTCCTTTTGCTGATCCACTTCTGCCTGGATTCTTGGCTAGATCTTCTGCGACTACTTTCACAAGCTTGGTAATTAAGTTCTGTAGTTTTCCTTTGGTAGGAGTATCTACGGCTTTAAGACCCGCCAAGAGAGCTTCAGTATCCAAAACTGCGTGAAGTCCTTTCTGTGGGTAGAGCATTCTAAAAGCGTCAATGCAACTACTACAGAATTGAAGAGCGATGAATTTGTACGCAGCCCTCTCCGGAGGATTTTGAACAGTTGATAAAATAGATGAACCACGTGGTCCCATGTGCTCCTCAAACGCTTTCACAAGTAGCTTGTGTTCATCACCCCCATTGATTGTCTTTTTTCCTTTACCAGACGTGACTGGTTTCAGAATCTCAGTGAGAAGACGCATAGCCTCACACTTCATAAACTCTGTCCGGCCATTTCCACACTTCTCCATTAGCTTGCCGATAGAACACCTACCAAGAACTGGGTATCGTCGGAACAGCTCGGTAAAAAAGGATCCAGCGAGACGTGACTTCTTATGGGTGAAGTAGTCGTCCAAAGCAGAGAAAAGAAGATCCAACGTCTCTGAGTCGCACTTTTCTTCTACATCTGGAAGATTTCCTAGCAGGACCTTAAATGTCCACAAAGTGCAAGTCTGAAATTACATGGCAAAACATTAATTGAAAATTAGAGTCCAATCACAGATGTCACTCCAATAGACGGGAACAGCGATCTACAGTTCTAGTTAAGCAGTGCAAAAAACCCACTGCACGAGCAATTTTCTCCCTTAAGCTAAGTGTTCACGCTGTTGGCATAACGCAATTTTCTTCTAAAGATATACAACCATAACCATAGATCTGAAAGCTTCACAGTTAGATCAGGGTCACTTATGTAAGGAGATTCAAATCAGATTGGGAAACTATTTAAAAGGTGGCGATTCAAATCGCCAATATCTCAGCACAAAAATGAGACATACCTGCGCTAGTACTCGAACCCTCTTGATTGATGACCTTGACGATAATTTCAAGGCTTTCTTCAATAATGACCTAGCAAGTGGCAAGTCGACATCCTTCCCCTTGGGATATTTCTTTGTATGCAACACCTTGCTATTCAACATACTTTCTAACCGCTTGACAAGTACCTCGTTTTCCTCAGGTGCTGTACCCAATTGATTCATAGCAACCACAAATGCCTTCAGAAGATTTTCTGCTGCGAGCAAACATAGGGAACTGCTGGGATGCTTTTGGAGAAAATGTTCCAGCAAAGATAGGACTCTAAACTTGAAGTGAGTTAACTGGGTTTGAGCAGTGTTCTTATTTGCTTCTTTTCTGTGCTTCAACACATTCGCCAGCAGGACATCTGCCCTAAACATAGCTTCGTCGTCCATATCCGAGATGTCAGAATCAGAACTCTCTGCCTCATCATCCAAGTCCTCACCAGGTCCTGAAGAAACATCATTTCAATGTGAGATATTTAACTTTGAAAACCTTATTCAAAAACACTTGATGATTTTTAATGAGATTCTTCAAATATTGAGCTGATTTGAGCGCCCCTATCATACATTAATCATAAACAGAACAACAGGCGCACGAAAGTCAAGCCAGATCTTCGAACACACAAACTCCATCACGGGCTAAATAAAAAAAAACCAGTACCAAAAATCAGAGCTTTTCGCTATGAAAATAATAAATACAGAAAGTAAAAAAAGCTTTTCGATTACTGCAGCAATGAGGCCAGCATATGGTGCAAAATACGCGATACTGCTTGAGATTGCGAAGGCATACTTTTGAATCTCATTTGTTGCTGAAGAGTCCTCGTTTGAGCATCGCCGTCGCCCATTTCCACATCCTCCTCTTCTTCATCATCTTCATCTTCGTCATCTTCGTCATCTTCGTCATCTTCGTCGTCATCTTCTTCCTCCTGCATTGAATCGACCCAAATGAAGGCATATTTACAGTATCAAGCAGATGCAATCACAAGACCTGCGATCTGTATATAGCATGTGAAAGAAAAAATTTACGTTTAACAAGTTTGGTATGGTACCTCTTTTGCTTCCTGACTTCCTTCCACTTTCCCTATATTGCCATCCGCTTCGTCGTCCTCCTCGTCCTCTAGGATATCGTCGTCGTCATCATCAGAATCCTCCTCATCATCGTCTAATATGGACTTATGGCGTCCTGACCTAGAGCCCTTATTTATGATTCGCAGAATATCTGCCATTCCTGCACTGGTGAGGTCGTCGCAATACACTTTGAACACCTGCGTATAGCAAAAGTACAGCTGAGAAAATGGTCCGAAAACAGGTGTAGGGAACACAGACACATGCAGATTCAGTGCAGTGATCCATAATCAACAAACTAACCTGCTCCACTGCATTGCGAATCGGAGTTGACGATTTTGCTAGCAACGACAATAAAACATCAAGAAGTACATCCATCACTGGAGGTACTTCTTCATTGTCTTCTTCCTCCTCAACTGGAGGTGCAATTTTCGCCAGCTCTGGCAAGTCGGGAAAGGCTCTGCTACAGCAGATGACAAGCTCAGCTGCAATATCATCGGTGGAGCCTGGTTCCAGGAAAGACTCGAGTAGCAAATTTGAAAGAAGACCCCTCATTGCCAATAACCGCCTCAACTTGCCAGTTGTATCGGATTTAACCTGCAGTTTTGTAACAGTTAGCGGAGAGCTCGAAAAATGTGAACTCCACAGCAAGAGACGATGAACAAATAGAAGTTTACAACATCACCACAACTGATCATCAACGGACATCAGGCTGTGAACCATTAACCCACAACCATTTGCCCCGTCACCAGCTTGCCGAGTTCAAGTGGCAGTCCAATTCTAAAAAAAAATTCAGGTGTATCGATTGGAAAATAACAAGGCTCACCGTATTAAATAAATAAATAAATAAAAGGATTTGACTTACTGCTGAGGATATCGTAGACACGGTCTGATGAAGGATCTTAATAGACTCTGCAGATTCCTCCTTCAATGGCTGCACAAGAACGGCAGCCGGAGACTCATGAAGGCTCAAACAATATGATGCAGCAGATACGGCAGAAACTTCATCTTCTTTCGCTGTATCGGTTGATCCACCTGCACTGGACTTATTACTTCTTGACTTTTGAGAAGACATCCAATGTTCAGCATCAACTAGGATACTATGCAAGCGCTCCACACATAACTTTCGGATGTTCGGGGTTAGGGGCATCTGAGGCCACCGGTAGCTTTTCTTCTCGACGCCTCCGCCGTTTTGTTCATTGCTTGCCTGAAATAGAGAATGTGTAACAAGGAATTTTATCACTTCTCTGTATAGTGTTTCCTGTGCTTTAGGCTCCAACTTGACCTGCCGACAGAGAGCGCACATCTGCTCAATGATCCATATCCTATCGTTAGCTCCAGGACTATCGTGACCATTCATCAGAGCATCTTCTGACAACTCGGCAGGATCTTCAGTAATTTCAGTCGCCTTCACGAAAGTAGACTCTGTGGCTACGAATAACTCTTGAAGATTGTGAACAAAAGCCAGCACACCTTCTTCAGTAATCAATCCGTTTGTAAGAGTTTTGACAGTAGATGATTTTGATAATGTATCAAACTTCCCATAACTATTTTTCTGTAGTGCCCCAATAACAGCAACTCGTCGGGAGTTGCTACTCTCAGCCCACAGCCGTACCTCACCCAAGCACCTCTGGGCACTTTTGAAAAGGTGGGTATCTTTAGAAGACAGAATGTCTAGAATACATCGAACAAATATGTTGGACAAGACAACACCAACAGTTTCAGGGTTCGGCAATCTGGGGAGCACTAAAAGGAGAAGCTCCATTGCAAGATTTTTTCTTTCATGAGAAGAAGGCAACAGCGCTCCATCGACAACCACACTCCAGAGATTCCCTAATGCCTCTTCCACTTTCTTTGCGTCTTTTATATCCTTGGAACTGCTAGATTTAGCACGTTTTTTCTTCGATGACTCTTGAACGCTATAAAGAGAGAAGAGGCGGTCTAATAAGAGGTTCCATACTGAATGTACACGAGGATGACTGCTGGAAGACTCCTGTATTCAAATTAACCCATAACAAATTAAGTCCTGATCAATGATACAAATCCTGAATATAACCATGATTACACAAACTAAGAAAGCACAAAAGTCAAACTGCTATAACCTAATGTAGCAGGCTCATTAAGAGGTTCATATATGTGCTTCAAAACAGCACTGTTTCGCAATCACACACTCTTACCTTCAAGCAAGGAACAAGTTTTGCCAAGTGAGAAGCCTCAAAAAAATCTTGTAAATTCCCAGACTCGGGTAGCAAAGGAGAGCTCTGTGATGGTAGCTTATCATACAACTGCAAAACTAAGACCAAGGCGTCCGCACTTTGACTTTCCAAGTCCCTACGCAACCATTCGTCAAAAACAGGAGCTGCGCACACCGTCTCACTGACAGCACTTGAAGGCAACTGAACCATTTCAACTTTGTTATAAACAGCGCAACTCAGGGAAAGCAGGGTAGACCCCAGGTGACACAAAATTATTCTTCAATAACCTAAGAAAAGATATAAAACACGACATCCGCTTGCACAAACTCCATCACTAACTGAATAACTCCAGAGGACAGAACTAACTTCTAGCACTTTCCGAAACATCGTTAAGCAGGAGAAATCTAAAGCTAGAACTTGCAAACTTAAACACAGTAGAAAAGCGACTGGTAAAATAACGAATCGAGATACTTACCCTGCTTGCAAGGTCAAAAACTAGGTTCACAGCTGGCTCCCGAAGAAATGTTTTTTGTTTAGCAAGGCCAAATAGTTGCTGGACAATTTCTGTTATCAATTCCTTCTCTTCTGGACTAGAGCCATTCCCAATAAGCCTCTTTGCCCGGATTAAAGATCCGTAAGCGAACAAACGTCCTAAGAGCCCGTCTCTTGCATCCTTGGATGCCATGCAAGCAGATAAAAACACATGGGTAAGTCTCCTAAAATCATTTGTCAAAGACTTGCAACCAAAACGTACTCTCCATTCCGATGCTATTGGTGATGACTCTAACGCTTCACACGAAACGGAGATGTATTGAAATAACTATGTACCAGCCAAAATCGGCATTTGCTTCTCTAAACACTTGACTTGAAGCTAGTCTCAAGTAAAGAGTGAACCCTTCAGCCTAATCACACCGATTCCCATCAATTTGTTAAGGTGTGAGGTAAGGTGTTGAAACCTCAACAAGTGCACATCCTTGCACTCTTCGGTACACTTTCCAAATCAAACAAGATTGGGTTTATACCTGCTTCTTCATTGAAGATGTGACCTCCAAATTCGAGGGAATAGTCTGAAGCAGGGCTTTTCCTCGAAGAACAGGAAGAGCAGTGATTACAGCTGTCAACGCGGTCGCAAATCCTTGCCTCGCACACTGAACAAACATCCATTCTTCAGAAATGAAGCCTCAACCAGAGTTCCCCAGCAAACAAGAACTCTCTTTCCTGATGCAAAATCCATGCTGATTCACAGTTTCAGTTTAAATCCCAACTGCTATAAATTTCAACCACTTTACCTCACGAGAAGAACCAAGACCGCGCACAAGCCGCCGCAATGCATATTGCACGCCAGGAGCACAACCTTCCAACAAATCATCATTCTCCTTCGCCCCAAGCACCTAGAGACATTCACAAAGCACCACATTTAGAACATACATCTACACCCAACACATAGGTTTCAACATAGTCTACTAGCCATTACACAACACATATAGACCTCAGAGCTCAAACCAGACAGCTTGAACATAGAAACCCCAAAACCTAACTCAATGAAAATTCACACACTGCCAGCTGAAAGCAACATAAGTATCACAAAAGTGACGCGCCCTGTCGATAATGCCTATCAACTACAAGCATCAAGTCGCCACCGACCACGCAATTTCAAAACTACCAGTCAGTAAGCAAATGTGCACCCCATCATCAACTGCCTGCAGAAACGCCAACAACATCATCCAAACATCGTCACAAGAAAGAGAATCACGCTATACCTCGCTGACGCCACCTTGTCCCCCGCCAGCTTCGAACTCCTCCTGCTTGGCTCGCAATTCATCCACGAGCGCCAGGGCCGCAGCCTCACGCACCGCCATGTTCAACGACGACAGGTTCCAGTAAATCTGCATACCCACGGGATTGAGGCTCTGGTTGGCAGCTTTGGCAACGCTCCCACCAGCGACGTCGGTTTCATCGTCCCCGCCCATCCGCCCTACAACTCCAACGCTGATAGAATGAGGCACCCAGGGGCCGGGCGCCATAGCGATCTCACTGGGGTTCGGGTGCGCTTGAGCTACTGATAATTCTCGAGACGGCAGGAGGGGGGCGGGCTTGAGAGAAGGAGTAGAAGAAGAAGGGGCATCAACATCAACGGCAAGTTGATGAGGATGGTGGTGGTCAGGCTTGGGCCGCTTCCCCATTGAGTGGCGATGCCGAAAGGGGCTACAAGCACTCGCCCCTCTGCTTGGCTTCGACGCTGCTGTATCTCACTCCTCCTCGTCGCCTCGCGACCTGCTGCAGCGCAAGCGACTAGGCTTTCGGGCCAGCCAGGGTTTAGGGTTCTGTGACAATACCCGAACCCGGGAGAGGGGGACTCTTGTAAACCGGGTATCAATATCCCTATCCTGCCCTGCCTGCCTGCCTGCCTGCCTGCCTGCCTACTCTTCTGAAATGCCCCATCGAAACAGTGACAGAATAATATTATGATTATTATTATTATTAGTATGGGCCCTGCCTATTCAGGCACCACGAGTGCTATCCTACTTTGCACATGTGGCTGTTTCCAAACATGTGGCTTCATCGTGCTTTTTATCACTTCAGTTTTTAGTTCTTCAAAACAGAATATTATAATAATTTATACTTATTTTATTATATTTATATATTAAAATCGCCTATCTATAGTTTCTTTTCAGATGGTCTTTCATTCTGAAGAAGTTCTATTTAATTGTGACTTGGAGAAAATTAATGTTCTCAAAAAAAGTGTCAGTTTAAATGTTTCCATTTTCAATGCTTTGACATAATAAACATTTTGAATAATTTCAAGAAGGAAAAGAAGTAGAAGAAACGACATAGAAAATATCATGAAAAATGATATTGCATAGACTAAATTATGATAGAAAATTGTTCAAAAATAAATATGTGACAAGATTTAAAGTTGTTAAAAGATTAAGTATTTTTTTTTCAAAATATAAATAAGAAAAGATTTTTTGATACTTTAAAATCATTACTTTGGAATATAGATGGTTAAAAAAGAATTGTGTAATGAAGATGTTTCATACTATTGTAAAAAATAAAACATAAATGTGAGATTTATAGTTGTTACATAAATGGAGATTTATAGTTGTTACATTGTGTACAACTAAATCAATTGGAAAAATATATATATATATATATATATATATATAGATATCTACACATATATGATTGTTTTATGTACACACCTTGATGTATAATAAGTTGTCTAAATTCAATATATTAATCTTCATGATATAATAATGCTATCTATTTGAAATATTTTTTTAGATATTGTGATTTAAAATAGTTATTATTATCTATTTCTCAATATAATTTTATAATTATATTTATTGATTTTACATTAATAAGAAGAAGAACTTCTCTATTTTTTGTATTTTTGTATTTCTACTTTTATCTTAAATAAAACTCAAAACTATCACAAACCTTGCTAAAACTCAAAAAAATTTATGAATTCAATTGAAATATGAAAGTCTCTATACATATTATTTTTTAAAATTATTTTTTCTAAGAATTAAATTTAATATGTATATATGTAAGTATATATGTATATGAGTTTTTACAATTATTTACTAATAAAATTATATAAGATACTATCAATTTTGATGTAATATTCTTTATTATAATAGCCAATAATATTACTACCAAAAATAATACAAAATATACATTTATTTGAGATTCATATTTATTCATGTAAATGTGTCAAAAATATGAATCTCAAAGAAAAAAAATCTCAATACATTCTTGTATTACTCAAAAAAAATAAAAAATAACTCAAAAATGGTACTATATTGAACTAGAATGGCTATTGCCAAAGACAAGAAGACTAGAAAGTCTTGAAAAAAGACTAAAGATTAGAAAGGTATTGACAAGAGTAAAGAAGGCTTCACTCTTGCCTCCATATATACTCTCTATTTATAAGCTATGTGACAATGTTTTAGAGGACCTCCAATACATGTTGACTTTGTAAGACATATCTTAACTTGCAAGGCAAGTTTTCTATAGGTGTGCCACATAGTTAGCTTGTTCCACAAGCTATCAAGATGTGTGATGTGTGGTTAATTTGTTGATCAAGTTTTTAACCTATCAATCAACTACAAACACATGTAAAAGTCGAAATTGCATCTATAAAGCTTCTAAGAAAATTCTTTAGAAGATATTACAAAATTAATCTATTTTTATCCACTTCCATCTAATCATGTAAGTAACTATTGGAATAAATATACATATTTGAGGCAAAATGTCAGTTTCAAAAATATAAACAATTCTTTTGCATGAAAAACCTAGCATATATGAGGTATATACAAACTAACTCTTAATCATTAATTTTATTATTTTTTCTTTTTATCTTATACAATATGATCTTTTAATTTTTATTTCTATCATAAATATAGTTTATAATCATGAGTGTGGTTCTATTTCCATTTATGGTGATCAATTCATATAACATCATTTATAATTAGATTTTATATAATATGATATTAACTAATTATTTACCATCTATAAAAAATCTTATAGATTTACTTGATAATTTTAAGTTTATTTATCTTATAATAAATATAAATATATATATATTTTCTAAAAAAGACTAATTAAAATATTAATAACTTCTAATTAACTATTAATAACTTATTGGTTTATAAATATATAATAGTTACTAATTATTAGGTTTTAAAAAAATCAAATAATATTTTTTTAATATTTTACGGTAACTTATTAAAAAATCTAAGACTATTTTTTATTTTTTTTAGGAATATTTATAAAATATTTAAATAATAATAATAATAATAATAATAATAGTTTTTATATTTTTTTTTATTTTTATAGATATTACTTATTTTGTTTTAAAACCATCATGATATTTTTTAAGTAATATTTATTTATTATGAGTTTAATATATATATATATGATTAATTATTATATTTTATATTTTATTTTATAAATAAAATCTCTCAAATTTATTTTTTTATATTGTAATCATTTTTGTAATCCAAAAATTCTTATTAATGATTCCATATATGGAAGGAACATAAATCTATACAAAAAGTTTATACAATTTTTTATAATTTTTGCCTTTATATATAATAACTAACAAGAAGTCTAAATAAAAAAATTCTAAAGACTTCAAGACTTCTAAAATAAGTATTTAAGTTATAAAATACTTTAATATTTGATTTTTAAGATTTAAAAATAAATTTTCACATTGACTTTAAAAATGACACTTTGTTAAGGACATGAATCTTGAAGAAATAAAAGATCAAGATTCTCTTTTGTTACTCAAAAAGACTATATAATCACTCAAAGATGATATAATATTAAACTAAAATGGCTATTGCTAAAGACAAAAAGACTTAAAAGTCTTGAAATAAGATTAAGAACTATAAAGGCATTGACAAGAATGAAGAAGACTTTACTCTTGCCTCCATATATAATATCTAATTAGGAGCTATGTAACAATGTTCTATAGGACCTCCAATACATGTTAACTTTGCTAGACACATGTTTTAATTTACAAGGCAGGTTTTATGTATATATGCCACATAATTAGCTTATTCCATAAGCTATCAACATATTATCATATAATGTGATTTTTTATTTGAAAATACACTAAGTACCTAACTGTAAAAAATTTAGCTTTAATTTATTAGTCAAGTTCCAATAAGTGATTTGTTCTTATTATAGAAGGCAAATAAAGGCAATAATATCAAAAGATATTCTACTAGTAAAATCTTTTATATTTAATAAGATTTGTACATAACACTTTAAGAGAATCTAGAAATTTCCTAACATCCTTTGCTATATCAAATCATAATTAATCATTTGGCCATAAGTTAGAATTCTAATAAGTTAAAAAAAATATATCAATATTTCTATTTTTAATATATATATATAAAGTCTTGGCTCCCAAAAATCCCTTTTACTTTGCATAAAATATCTAAATTATAATAAAAACCTTTCAAAATACTTTTCTCCCACAAAGGATTTTTTTTTCTTCTAAATTTTAGAATTTCATACTTTTTAATCCAACTCTTCGTTTTTTTCAAATTTTTAGATAATGTAGCATTTATCCTTAAGCTTTATTACAAAAAAATGAACCGTAAATATACTCTCAATTATTTGATATCTTAAATATCCTAAAAAATTCTCAAAATTCTAATTTTCAAGTATTTTAATATTATTATCTTTATATCTCAAAAATCTCAAATTCAAATATTACAAAATTTGGTATATAGCTTTATAATATAATAATACACATTTATGAAAAAAATTAGCCAAATATTCATTCAAATGCTCAATACTTTTGGCCAATAAGATTAGAGATTTTCATAATCCATCTTCATTTATTTTTATAGTTGGCCTAACTATCTCTTTTTATACAAAAATCCTTCTCTAATCCTTTTTTTAATAGATTTTACATAGTATATATCTTAAACACCAAATAAAAGAAACAAAACAAGATTTTATGAGTCACCAATGTCTAATAAAGGTGACTCTAAATATATAAATTTATTATCAATATAAAATCAACTTCAATAATAGCCCGTTTAAACTAACTACTTCAAAGTAGCAATCTAATCATATTTTGTAAGCAACTAAAACCTAATAACATGACTCTCACTACATTATATAATAAATTATATATTAAATATATATTTAATTTTTTTTACATAATAGCCGAACTACAACACAACAATGTGTGACATGTGATTAACTTGTTGACTTAATTCTTAACCTAAAAATCAACTATAAATACATATGAAGTTAAAATCATGTCTATAAAGCTTTTAGAAAGTTTTTCTAGAAGATATTATAAAATTCATCTACTTTTATTTATTTCTATCTAATGTTATAGATAATGATTAGAATAACTATGTATGTTTGTGATATTACTTTTCCTTTTAGGAAGAAGTTTCATGAGGAGCAGTCATTATCTTTTATGAATTTTATTTTTTTTATCTTGATTTTGATAGATGTTGTTTATAAAAAGTTTCAAACCTCTTTGTTGCATTTACAAGATTCTTTGATGGCTCTCATGTGTATTTACTAATATCATATCCATTGTTGTATTACATGAAGTCTTCCTTAAAAATGCATTTGATACTTGGCTGTAGAAGGTAAAAGAAGTTTGTAACTATAAGTCCTAACAATTATAATAGAATCATATATAGATTGCAATTAAAGCTTAGTAAAAATAATAAATAATTAATCAAGCTCAGTTAGATTTTCAAATAAAATATAAAAAAATACAAAGAAATCCTAAAAAACTTCTAAAAAATTATAA